GCCAGCCTTCCACAGTGGCTTCCCAGTGGGCTCCAACATAACACTTGTGAAGATGGCACGGACTGGGCAGCGTGCCGTTCTACTGTGCAAATGGATATCATCAAGTCGGCGCTCGCTGGATAGCGTCTAACAACAACAACAACAGGAAAAAGAAGTCACGGTGGCACAGGGGTTAAAGTACTCAGCTGCAACCCCAAAGGTCAACAGTTCAAACCCTTTAGCTGGTCCACAGGAGAACTACATGGAAGTTGTCTTCCACGCCTTGGGAACCTTACAGAGCTGTTCCACTGACTCCTATAAGGGGGCTATGAGTCGGAATCATAGATCATAAATCCATGAAAAGAGGTGCTCTGCTTTCTCAACCTGACCAATGATGTACACATACACACATATACGCTGTGGGTTAATGCGCCAGACTGCAAAGCCACTTGAACTGCAAGGTTGGTGGTTCAAGCTCACCAGCTGCTCCTTGGAAACCCTATACAGGGTCGTTATGGGTTGGAATCGACTCAATGGCACTTCACAACACAACAACAACACACATCTACACGTGTACATGTGTATGTGTGTGTGTATTTATAAATATTTTTCCTTGATATACAGCAGGTAAAATAAGCTGGGTGAACTGGAAAAGTTATGTGATAGATATATTTAAAGCAACAACAAAAAATTCAAGACCAGCTGCTGCAGCTGCTTACGTACAACAAAAAAAAACCTCATGGGACTTGGCTCCTTGGTTTGGAGGTTTAGGGTCACGGTTTCATGGGAAAGCTCTCTTCATTACCTAAGAATCATACACTCAGGCCTTCTGCTCTACTTCCTCACTCGCAGCGTAGTGTTGGAAAGGTTGTACAGGTGACCCAATGCACAGCAGTTGGTCTCTGTTTACCTGGAAGGCCAGGAGCAGCAGGAGGGGATGGAAAGTGTGGCCCACTGCCTCCTAGAATGACTGTCACCTTTGCACGTGATCAGAAGAAACTGATTGGTGCGTGGCTCTCATTACTGAATATTTTGATCAGGATTCTATAGAGAAATCCTTATCAAAAGGGGGGAAAACGTAAAAAAGAATTTCATATTCTCATGGATTCCAGACTTCTTGGAGCCATGGAAGCTAAACAAATCCCTGAAATTACTGCCCTGAGATAATCTCTGAACTTTAGAACCAAAATTATCCTGTGAAGCCTTCTTAAAATCAAACAACTGTTTAGCTTAACTAATAAATAAGATCTGCCTTGAACATGAAAATCTTAAGAACTATGGGTTGAAACCAACTAGACATTACTTCACAACAATAATACGAGATCAAAAGAAGCACTGCGAGCAGAGTGGGTTACACGTTGGATGACTAACCTCAAGGTCAACAGTTCAAATTCACCAGCCACTGCGAGGAAGAAAAATGAGGCTTTCTGCTGCAGTAAAGATTTACAGCCTTGGGAACCCTGTTCTGGGTCGCCATGAGGCAGAAGCTCAAACTGACAACAGCAATTCAAAAGGTTATACTGCCCGCCTAGGAAAATTAGGGGGTAATAAGCTCATGTTGGGAGTCCTGGTGTGGTGCTGTGGGTTAATGTGCCAGACTGCAAAGCCGTTTGAACTGCAAGGTCGGTGGTTCAATGGCGGACGTCATCCTGCCAAGGAACAGAACAGCGAGAAGCCTTATGCATGAAAAGTTCATTGTTTAGCAAAGTGACAATGAATGTCCCCTTGGTTGGCAAAGCCACAAGGGATGATTCATGCAGGGGCCCCACGGTCTCTAGTTTTCCCTTGGAAAAATAGTTTATTTCTGATTTCCTTGTAAAAAGTTTTAGGAAATCTTGCATAATCATTAGATACTTTAAACAAACCTCATGTTACAATAGTTGCCTTCCACATTAACATTAACTTTCACACCATATTCAATCTTACGTAGTTATAAAAAAATGTTTTTTACTTTAACAATAAGTTTTAACATTAGAAATAACCACACTAGCTAAAGTTTTAGCAATAAAAGCTTAAAATTGTAAGAAACATTCCATGTAGTTTTAGTCAAGGACATTAAGGCCTTTAGAAAGCAGTTTGGAGACAGTCAAGGGCAGTGAGAACTTGGGACAGAGGTAGGAATTTGATTAGAAGTTTTGAGAAATTGTTAGCATGAGAGAATTACTGGTTTGTTCTTAACTATGAAACTTTAGGGTACTTTTATGTTCTTGTTAAATCAATTATATATATGACCAGTTATAGTAAAAATTATGTTTTTGATTGTAAGCTGTAACTAATTATCTATAGAAAGTAATAGATGTTGGTAAAGTTAGAAATTAAGATGTAGAACTTTGTTTAAAATTAACCTGACATTTAAAAAGGATTAGAGAAAAAAAAATTAAGGCCAAACTACACATTTTAGGGAAGATTAGAGAAAAACAGAGTCGCTCACAGAAGGCACAAGTTATCAAGGTAACTAAGGAGTAACTAAGGAGTGTAGAGACACAGGAATGTTTGATGACCTTGTGTTCCTCTTATATGTCTGATGTAAGAATATAATATTTGATTGATTTGTAACTGCTTGTACGTGACTATTGTGAGATCATGTTGTTGTTGTTGTTAAGTGCCGTCGAGTCGGTTCCGACCCATAGCGACCCTGTACAGGGTTTCCGAGGGTGTAAATCTTTACGGGAGTAGAAAGCCTCATCTTTCTCCCGCGGAGCAGCTGGTAGTTTCGAACCGCTGACATTAAGGTTCGCAGCCCGATTCGTAACCACTACGCTACCAGAGCTCCTTTGTATATTCTAAATGGGATATAAGAAGCAACAATTTTTGAAATAAAGAAAGAGTCAGAGAGTCATCATTACCATCACCTGCCTGAGACTGAAAACGACCCATTGACTCTGTGTGTTTTTTCACCGAATCCGTACCTCCCTCTGAGCTTTCACAAATTGTCGAGGCTGGTCCCCGACAGTTCAAGCTCACCAGTTGCTCCTTGGAAACCCTATACAGGGTCGTTTTGGGTTGGAATCAACTTGACGGCACTTGACAACAACAACAAAGTAGCTCATGTTGAGCAGGGAGGAACAATGCAGAATTGTTCCTCCCTGGACAACATGAACTTACTGTCCCTAACAATTCTACAACTTGAAGAAAGTTGCCAAACTTACTGAGTTATGCATGGAGAATTTGTTGAATTGGTGCATGTTTTCTTATGTACGTTTTCAATAACAAATCAATAGAATTTTTAAAAATTATCTCATTCTCAAAGGAAGACTAACAATAAGAAGTATAAAAGCATAGGGAAATGAAGAAATATTGCAAGGAATCATTATTTCTCAACAGCCTGATCATTAGCAGTTTGCAAATTTGAGCGATGTATTATAATTTCCTTCTTTTATTTACTAAGGTAAAAACTGCCAGTTTCCAGGATTTTTTTTTTTTTTCCTTCCATTAAAATGTTGTTATTGTGTGCCATGGAGTCGGTTCCAACTCATAGCGACCATGAACAGGGTTTTCGAGGCTGTAAATCTTTACGGGAGCAGAAAGCTTCACCTTTCTCCCATTAAAATAAGATTTAAAATACTGGGAACAGAAATGTATTTTGCTGGAAATTGCATTTTGTCTAGTTCCACTGCAGATAGAGGGGGACATGTGGCTAAATCCTGACCAACACGAGGAGATGTGAGAAGAAGCTGTTGGAAAAGAGCTAAGTATTGTCTCCTGACAGGAAGGTGGCCGTTTACAACCTTGAGACAGACGCCAAGGTCATGCAGTATGCTCAGGACCACAGAACAGAGGCAGCAGATGCCTCAGACTTGCAATGACATGACTGAACTGCCAACACTGGCTCTTCATGCAACAGGAAAGATCAAACCTTAACTTGTTTAAAGCACTGATGTTTCCTAGCAAATCAACTTAAATCTCAACCGATATTCCCACTTTCCAGGACTGCTGTGGAGATTCATGGAGACAGATGCGAAAAGAATAAAGATCGTAAAAACTACTTTCAAAGGGATTCTGAAACCCTAAAAGGCCTTTATCGGAAAGGATGATGACCCACAAGGGATAGGCCATGGCTTGATTCAAAAAAACTCCAAAAAGATTTTTGTTAGAGGTGTTTTGTTTTGATTGCTGTTGTTAAGTGCCGTCGAGTCCATTTCAACCCACAGCAACCCTGTATAGAGTTTCCAAGGAGCAGCTGGTAAGCTTGAACCACCAACCTTACAGTTCAAACGACTCTGCAGTCTGACACATTAGCCCACAGCGCCACACCAGGACTCCATAAAGAAGACTGTTGCTGTTAGGCACTGTGAAGTTGGTTCCGACCCATGGCGACTCTGTATAGGGTTTCCGAAGATGCAAATTTCTATGGAAACAGAAAGCCTCCTCTTTATCCCGTGGAACCACTGGTAGCAGTTTTGAACTGCTGACCTTGAGGCTAGCAGCCCGACTTGTAACCACTATGCTACCAGAGCTCCATTTGTTTTGACTAGGGGTCTGCAACAACATTTTTGAAACTTTGTTTTTCTGTAATACTCATGTTTTTGAATAATTTAGAATTAAACATGACTAATTTTAAAACAAAAGTAATACAAACAAAAAGCATAGAGTGATACAAGAAGAAAAAGACCACTGTAAGAGAAATCTATTTTTAAACTATTTTTAAAGTATTTACCATTTGTGCTAAGCAAAAAAATGACCCCAAGAAGGAAAATTTGAAGAAACGTATTGTTCTAGTTTTTGAAAAGTATTCAGTTACAGTGAAGAGAGGACAGAAAGAGAAAGAGAAAGCGAGCACATGGGGAAAGGAAAGGAAAGAAAAGGGAAAATTTAACACAACAAACAATTTATTTAATGTAATGCACACTAAAATTGGAGTCCTGGTGTGGCGCTGCAGGATAATTCGCTGGACCACAGGGTCAGTGGTTCAAACCCACCAGTTACTCCTTGGAAACCCTATACAGGGTTGCTATGGGTTGGAACTTACTCCACAGCACTTAACATCAATAACAAGGAATAACTGAAATGAGTAAACTTACTAGAGAAGTCAGTCCTTCATTGTCAACAACCCAGTCTTCCTTTTCAGCTAATCTCTTTATTTCTACATAGGAAATAAGCACACACAAACATTTTATTATAATTAACTCAATGAACTTTACAGAGATAAAAAACAACTACAACGGTTATGATCTTTAATTGTTTTATATAGTAAAACAAATGGGGCTAACAAATAAGTATGATAAACTCAAGGATTTGAATGTGTATTGCTCACTTCTTCTAATTAAACTAACATACATAAAAAATATTTACTGTACAGTCCAATTTAGAGAATTCTGTGCTAGGTTCGGAGTCATGGTGTGGTACTGTGGGTTAATGCACTGGAATACAAGGTCAGTTTGAACCACAAAGTTGGTGGGTCAAGCTCACCAGCCATTCCTCGGAAACCCTATACAGGGTTGGACTATGAGTTGGAACAGACTCAACGGCACTTAACAACAACAAGCTAGGTTCAATGACAATTATAGATAATGATATCTTATTTATTATTCATGAAATGCTAAACATATGCAAAATAAGCCACTGAATGTTTCCTTGCTTAAAATGTCTGAAATAAAATGGTAGTGGGCTGCAATAGACTCTCACGTGGCTACAGGAGAGACCTGGTCCATGCTGGCTGCCCCTGAGCCCTGCAGGAGGTGCAGTGAGGGACTGAAGGAGGCAATGGTCACCTTTCACCAGGACTTCATTCTCTTTCACTTACGTCCATTAGTGGTCACCAATCGTGGGACATTGTAGAGGACTTGTGTCATCTACAAAATGCTTGACTAAACTTGTAAAGATAAACTTGACTGCTTTTCATGATTCTGCAGAAATAATCTTGAAATTCTAAAAAGTATATGGAAAATGAGATTCAGCTACATTTTCTGTTACCTGGAGAACCATTTTTAAAAGTCTGCCTTTCAATTTTACATAGAGATTTCTAAATTAAAAATTCAAAATGTACATAAACATACACATAAATACATTTCTTCCAAAACTTAGATGATACTTTATTTGTATTTTGTATCCTAGTTTTCCACTTAACATTTCAGCCTAAGAATTTTCTTACATGCTTAATTCTTTTTCAAGTATAGGCCTTATAGGTAAGATATATGCACAACCTTGGAACAGCAGGGCTCTGAGAGACAGGGACTGAGTCATGATTGGAATGGGGATGGTACCATGTTAGGATGCGGGAACGTCTCTTTATTACATGACTAACCAAGGGGGCAGGAGTTCTAGTCTGTGTTACAGGTCAAAAGCTCTCCAGTATGGATCCCAGCCTGACTGATTCGACCTTATAGCGAGCGGACAGCCACTTCTCCATCGTTGGAGCGAGCGTGCCTGAGGGACCCAGCATTCACTGAAGACCCACCTGAAAGAGGGATGCCATCTGCATTTCCATTGAGGTCCCCCCGGCAAGAGTACCAGCGAGCCAGCCACAGCAGAGAAGACTTTAAGAACTGTTTAATCCTTGGGGAACTGGATAAACCCCAGAGACATTCAGCTGTTTTGCTTGTCGGGCGTGGGGAAGGGGGAGTTAATAGATGTTACTGATTTGCAATTGTCAAAAAAAAAAAAAAAAAGGGGAGTGATTAATCTTACAGTCCAGAAACAGAGGACCCTAGGACCATCAAGAGAGGAACACACAAATAGAATGTGGGACCTTATCCAGAGAAGCAGCAGCACCAGAGATGGAGGTAGAGATGGGGGCATGGAGGACTCTAGATTCATCAACTAAGAAGAGAAGGACTAAGAACTGGTGGCCAGGAGCAGACTTGCAGAATGTGCCCTTTGGAGATGTAATTTATTATATATGCCTGAGTGGGGTTTTTTGTTTGTGTGTCTTTTAAAAAAAAAAAGCTAAAGTGGATAAAGATAAATACTTTTAACTGATGGTATATGGAGGGGATTATAATCAATGTAATGAAACAAGTTATATGAATTGTTGAATGTGAAACTGATGATGTGCCCTGTAAACTTTCATTCACTCAATCCACAATAAAAACCTTAAATTAAAAAAAAAAAAAAAGTATAGGCCTTATAATTTCTACACGTTCATGCATTGCAAGTAATAAGCTGATGACAAAAACATTTCAAGAAATCGACTGGGCATCAAGCAATGCAGTGATCTCATGTATTCAGATTTCCATGGCAGGAGTTTCCTCATTTCCCAGGCCTTCGAGGGCTACAGGACGTGGCATATTTAGGTGTTTCTTCACATACCTTCTGCTGTGTACTGCAGTGTGACCACCACACAACGTACTCGGAGATCCAAAGTCAGGTCCTGGATGGTCTGTAGCATGTCATTTGGGATCTCTAGGGCAGCCAAGGCGTCGTCAGTCAGTCTAGGAAACAATGAACGGAGTGGGTCTCTGAAGCCATCGTTTTCACCACCTTGCTCTATTTAATGAACCTTGAGGCGGCTCTGTATGATAAACACTAGACTGCGAACCACAAGTCCGGGGTTACAGCTGACCAGCCACTCCGTGGGAGAAAGATGAGGCTTTCTGCTCCTGAGAAGATTTAAAATCTTGGAAACCCAATACGGGGTCGCTATGAGTTGGAACCAACTCAACAACAATAGCAACTCTTTGTTAAAGGAGCCCTGGTAGTGCAGTGGGGTACGAGCTGGGATTTCAGATTCCCAGATGCTCCCAGAAAGACTTACGGCCTCAGAAACCCCCCCACAGGGTCCCTATGAGTCAGAACCGACCCCACAGCACACACCGCCCACAACTCTATATTCCTCATCATTCGTCACGAGTGTACACGCTGGAACATGCTGACCAAGATGACAAGAAAGGCCATAACAGACTGGAATTGTGGTGCAGTGGGTCACTCTGATAGGGGACTGGTTAATTCTGCCATCCACTCGGCTTGACGTGCGCTGTCCTACAGGTGGGAAGTGAGGGGCCCCCATCACCAAGAAGAAATGGACAGCGCACACAACCTTTGACCCCAGAGTGCCTGGGCTGAGGAAGTAAGTCCTAGAACAGGAGGCAAAGACACAGAGAGCTCTCACACCGGAGATGGGGCAGGATGGCTGGAAAACGGCAGCGACAAAGTCAGGAGACTAGTGAGACAGCTGGGGCGTGCTTTCACCCATGGAGCAAGGTGGTTCCAGTGGGCGTGTGGCCCACCATGTGAAAGAATTGAGCACCTTCGCACAGGAGACATCCTATCCTGGTAGAGCGGGGTGCCTCCCGGCACTTGGCAGCAGAGCTGCGCTTGCAGACCCATGGAGCAAGAGTGAGATGCCCCTGGGCACTTGTTGGCAGAACGAAAGAGCTTTGTTACATTTGCCTGAGCACAGCTAAGCAGAAGCTGTCCTGGTCAAAGATTGCATCGCGAGTTGCTTCTGACCCTAAACTGCAACCAGTTACTTTCTGACTAAATGCCCTAAGTGTAAGGTCTGTGAGTTCAGCGCGCCCATTCAACAAACCATCCAATCAGCAGATAGCAGAGCGAGCCCTGGGAGAGGTGGAGGCTACGTTAGACCTCCACCTCCGAGTATCCAGGGCCTTGGGCTGTTGACCCTGGTGAAGAGTTATGTCCTCTTGTGAAGTTAGATGAGGAGGTCTGACACCCCCACAACATCATTTCTACAGTGATATAGCAGCAATGGGAGTGAGTTGGTTCCATAAGGTAAGCACAGGACTGTGAACCTAAGATCAGCGATTTGAACCCACCAGCTGCCTCGGAAATCCCATGCAGGATTGCTAGGAGCTGGAACTGACTTCACTGGCACTTAACAACATAGTGGCACTGGAGTCCTGGTGTGACACTGTAGGGCACTGTAGTTTTAAGGACAGAGACTGAGTGAGACTGGCGAGGTTGGTAGTGATGGCGGTGTACTGTCGAGTCGGTTCCGACTCACAGTGACCCTGTATAGGGTTTCCAAGGCTGTAAATCTTTACGGGAGCAGGACGCCTCATCTTTCTCTCGCAGAACCGCTCGCTAGCAGTTTCAAACTGCTGACTTTGAGGTTAGCAGCCCAACTTGTAACCACTACGCTACCAGAGTTCCTTGATGGCAAGGTTAGAACCAGGAAATTTAAAACCCACTGTATAGGATAGGGTCAATGGTTCAAACTTACCAGCTGCTCCTCAAAATGTTACACAGGGTCAACTATGAGTTGGAAACGATTCGAGGGCACTTAACAACAACAACATAGCAGCAACAGTGAACTAAGCAATAAACAGATGTCCAGAAAGTGTAGTGCTCCTGTCAAACAAAACTGGGCAATTTAAGACTTTAATTTTCACATGAGAACTAATGGGAACTGTTGTTGTTGTTAAGTGCCGTTGAGTCGATTCTGACCCATAGCGACCCTGTATAGGGTTTCCAAGAAGCAGCTGGTGAGCTTGAACCACTGATGTTGCAGTGCAAACAACTTTGCAGTGTGACACATTAGCTCACAGCACCACACCAGGACTCCAAATGGGAACTAGGGGAGGTCAAAAGTGCAGAAAGTATTCAATTAAAATGTCTTCTTTGTTAAATGCATTAAAAGTCACAGCCTGTACTTTTTTCAAAAAGACAGTTTTGCCTCTCTTCGGGAGCAGGTGCCCTGCTTTCTTACCGTATAGTCTGAACGGCATGGGCGAGCCACTGCCCTGAAAGGCCAGCCTTGCCCTCCCAGCCTCCATACTGCTGCACGTCGCTGTCTCGGATGGTGAACGGGAGCAAGGCACCGCGGGCCAGCTTCACGAGCGAGTGCATCAGCTCCTGAATCATTTTCTAAAATCAGACAACCAATGACACTGCACTGAAATGGCATAAACGAAAGCATGTGCCTAAATGAGAAAGAGCATCTTCAGTATACAGGAAGTCATCCAGCAGCTTCGGGGGAAAAGTCCTTGCCCTGTGAAAAAGTCCACATACTTACTCTGAACGTACCTTGAAATCATTTTGTCTTTGCCTTACAATCTTTGATCTCTCAATCTGGCCTGACTTCTCGGCAGTCTTAAAAATGAAGAAAAACAAAAACATAATTAGCTGGCTTTCAGTAACAGTTTAGAAGAATAAGAAATGTATTAGGGATTGAATACAAAGAGAGCAAGAAATATGATTCTAACTTGATTAGACAGGCCCATCAACTCATGTAACTGATCAATCAGAAAACCTTTCTTATTCCAATGAGAACTTTCTAAAACCAAATAAAAAATAAATAAATAAACCTCTTGTTGATAAAAGCTCTTGTTGAAGCTACTGGGGTTTTTTTTGTTGTTGTTATTTCATTTGCTATTTCATCAACAACTCCGTGTGGTTCAACCTAAAAGTTGGATGGGTTCCAACATCAATTCTCATTGGCAAGTACAGAAACGAAAGGAAGGGTAACTGGGAGTGGCCTATAGGAAACCTGGGATGACATCTCGCTTTCTGCAAAGACTGGACAGCCAACAAGTAAAATTAGCATTTTATCTGTCCTCATACTAAAATCATTCTCTGTGTGTGTGTACATATATATGCATCCATATGTTGTTGCTGTTGTTTAGTGCAGTAGGTCAGTTCTGACTCATAGCTGTGGGCTAATGTGTCGGACTGCAGTGATTTGAACTGCAAGGTTAGTGGTTCAAGCTCATCAGCTGCACCTTGGAAACCCTACACAAAGTTGTTACGGGTCAGAATTGACTCGACAGCACTCAACAACAAATACATATATATACGTATATATATTTATACATATACATGCCATTGCTCTTTCAAGGATTTTAGGAATTTGAGAAATTCAAGGATTCATTTTTTGTCTGTTCACTAATTCAATTCCTGTTTTCCTATGACATTTCTCTTCTTACCTGAAGTCATATGTGGGAAACCAGAATGACAAAAAGCGAAATTGGAGTTTACTACCAAATGTTTATAACCACTAAATATTATTATATAAAATGCTCTAGAAGTGCAAACTTAGGAAACATTTCAAATACAGAAATGATTGCAAAACAACAAACTGAGGTAGAAAAAAATCTGACATATTGATAACATAATTCAGGTACCTTTTAAAGTTATAAACTTAGTGGAAGATACTATTGGTTGAAGACATTTTTTAAAACAGATATCTCAAGTTAAAAGAAATTGCCCTACAAATGATTTCGATACTGACGTTAAGTAAATTTTTTAAAGTTTAAATTTTATATTTAAATATATATAAATACATCTATACATATGGTATGGTACTGTGCTGGACTGCAAAGTCAGTTTGAACTGCAAGGTCGGCGGTTCAAGCTCACCAGTTGCTCCTCGGAAACCCATACAGGGTCTCTATGAGTCTGAACTGACTCAACAGCACTTAACGAACGAGAAAGGTGCACCTGACCCAACCCATGGTATTTTCAATAGTTTCATATGTATGTGAAAGTTGGACAAGGAATAAGGAAGACTGTAGAAAAACTGAAGCATTATGGTGTTGGAGAAGACTATTGAAAGTACCATGGACTACCAGAGAACACACAAATCTGTTTTGGAAGACGTACAGCCAGAAGGCCCCTTAGAAACCAGGATGGCCAGACTGTGTCTCTCAAACTTCAGACATATTATCAGGAGGGGCCAGTCCCTGGAGAAGGACATCATGCTTGGTAAAGTGGAGGGTCAGTGAAGAAGAGGAAGACCCCCCAAAAAGATGGACTGGCACAGTGACAGCAGCAAGGGACTCAAGCGTAGCGATGATTGTGCGGTGGGCACAGGACCAGACAGTTAATTCTGTTGTGCATAGGTGACTATGATTCAGAACTGGCTCAATGGGACATAACAACAACAACATATACAAATATAACCAAACTAAACCAAACCACTGCCTTCAAGTCGAATCCGACTCACAGTGCCATGTATAGGGTTTTAAAGACTATTGGGAGCAGACAGTGAAACGGCTGGTGGGCTCAAACCACAACAGGCCTAGCCCATATCATCACCAGGGCTCCTTATATATGAATACACCTGAGTATAATCCTGCATAGATACATAAATATAACATATATGTATGTATGCAGTCCTGGTGTGGTGCTACAGGATAAGCAGTAGACCACAAGGTTGATTTGCACTGCAAGGTCAGAGATTCTAACTCACCAGCTGCTCCTCGGAAACTCTATACAGGGTCACTTGAGTCAGAACCAACTCAACGGCACTTAACAACAACAACAACATATAAGGCTACAGATTTCTGTACTGACTGCTATAACATGAATGAGTAAAACGAATTAGAACTCTCAGAGATTTCTAGCAAACATACGAGACATGCTTGCTAACAACTGGTCAGCACACTCACAGATATATAACTCCCCTTTGTTGATGTCATATGCCGTGGAGTCACTTCTGACTCAAGAGCGACCCTGTACAGTTTCCAAGGCTGTAAATCTTTACAGGAGCAGAAAGTCTCATCTTTCTCTAGCGGAACAGCTGGTAGTTTCAAATTGTTGATCTTGAGGCTTGCAGCCCATTAACCACTATGCTACCAGAGCTCCTTATACCCCTTTAGACTCCAAATTATACTTATCTCTAAATTGTACGTTAATTGGTGTGATATTTTTCTTCTTCTTTTTAATAACTCACTTTTGATTGAAAGGATTAAAGGCATATGCTGTTGTTGTCTTGTTGTGAAGTGCTGTGGAGTCAGTTCCAACTCCTAGTGATCCTGTGTAGGGTTTCCGAGGAGCAGCTGGTGAACTTGAACTGCCAACCTTGTGGTTATGTGCTGTATCCCACAGCACCACACCAAGATATCAAATACGAAACATAAAAGTCACTTCAATGTCCACTCAGTAAACAAACTGTTGAGTTCATGACATTCAAGATTCTTTGCACACCAGGATTACACTCAGGAGCACATGGTTCTCACTTTAATTTCAAGACAAGTGGGAAGCAGGGACACTTTATTCCAACAAGAAGTTACTCATCTTTCTAAAGCCCCCCAGGTGCAGTTTTCATAAACAAGCCTCTTGCTGCTCTACTAAGTGTTAGGTTGGAACTACTGATGTTAGGAGTGTTTTAAACAAGGGAGTGAAACACTTAGGTTTCTAGAGCAGTTCACAGACCACAGTGAGCAGGAGTGGCCAGAGGGTCAGGAAGCAGCCTGCAGAGAGCCAGGTGCATAGTGACTGTGCCCAAAACTGTCCACAGGACATTCCTGCATGGGGTCTGAGGGGCTCGGAAGGTGGCCAGTCCACACAGTCTCAAACGTGATACTGTAATGAACACTCAGTCCCACCATGTGGGGGCAACTGAGCCTTGGTGTAGACAAACCAATGGGTGCCCTGCTTACTAAAGTCCTAAGAAACTCTTCTCTGCATGTTGAGGTTTGTTAGGTCATAGTCTCGAACACTCTCTCTTCTTTATTCCTTCTCATGGCTTCAATTATCATCTCTAATACCTTCCCAATTTTTATTACCAATCAAAATCTCCCCACTGAGATCCAGATTTGACACTCAAATTGCCCACTGCATGTCTCTTCCTGAATAACTCACAAGCATCTCAAGCTTAACACATTAACAATGACAGTCTGATTTCTGTTTCCCCTCCAGGCATGTTCTTCAAGTCTTCAAGGCACAAATACTCAGGAGTCTAACTGTGCATCGCACCTGAATAGCTGCATAAATCTCCTACATCGCAGCCATCGGTAAGGGCTGTAAACACTCGCTCCAAAACACAAACCAAAGCTATCAGAAATCACCAACTCTACTACCAAAACCTTCCCTCAAACCACCACTGTTTTCTATCTGGGAAACCTCCACAGCTTTCCCAATTTGACTTTTGTCCCATCAGATCATTCCTGGAGCAGCAATGAGTGGGTGTGCTGAAGTGAATGGCCCAATGTCTCTGCTAGCCACATTCTGTAACTCCTACCTAAGGACGTGTCTGCCCTGCAGGATTTGGGTAATAGATGGTGAGAGGAGCTACTGAAAGGTGACATGATTCACTATGGATGGCAGCAGAGGTCACAGAACTGTAAAAAATGGAGACTCTAACATGGGTATCAAATGAGTCATCTCGGAAGCAGGAGGGGGAGCTCTCCACTGTCCAAGACGAGCCAGGAGGTCAGCATGTCTTTTGGACCTTGGCATCCCTGGACACTGAACCTCCTTGACCCAGGGGCAGATGCTGTGGCACTGGAGGAGGGGCACAGGAGCAGCAGACGGAGCAGCGGCCTCCCAGCCCCCAGAGTAAGTGAAGCAGAGTGACTTAGGGCAGGAGGCTTGCCTGTAGTGGGGTATCTCCAGGCACTTAAGCAAGGGGAGCTAGGTTTGCTGACCTGTGGAGCTAAAATTGAGGGCCCTCACGCTGAGACTTATGGTCGAGTGGTGTGTCCTATGGGCATTTATCATCAGCTGACTGGAACAGCTATGTCCTGAGCATTTCTGACCCCATCCTGTAACCTGTTCATGTCCCTAATAAACCCCGCAACTGTGAGTAGGGTGTTTGAGTTCTGTGCAGCCACTACAATGAATTAGTGAACCAGCAGAGAAGTATAATCATTACCAGAATTTAAATTGTTTTTTTGTTGGTCTTTTAGGTATATTGGCTTGTTTATCCAGGAAGGAAACAGTCATGTTTATCTTAGCCACAGACCTGTGTGTATGTGTGTCTGCCATACATGTGTGACACATCCCACGTATCACATACATACATCAACCAAGATCCATCAGTAATGATACCCCTGGTTCCGCATCCTCTTCCGAATCTGCCTTGAATTTCTGGAGGTTCCCTGTGCATGTATGATACTAGTATGTTCAGTTGTGTCCACATTCCACTGGGTATTAGTTTTCTTTGGAATGATAGTTTTCATGGGAAACCATTGGGTATCTCTACCTTATACTCCTGATTTTGTTCTCTTGACTTTTTTGTTTCCTAATCTTACATCGTCTTTACCAGGCAGCCATTTTTTCCAGTTAGTAATGGAAAGGAGAAGTTGCATTGTTATGCCTCAGTCCTCAGAACCGTCATTTCTCTTGGATGGACTGAGGGACTGATGTCAC